CTGCTTCTCTCTCTGCCCTCTTCCCTCTCATGCTCTCTGTCTCTCATTCTCTCTCTCTCAAATAAATAAATAAAATCTTTAAAAAAAAAAAAAGAAGGCACATAATACACATAATACAGATCACTCAAAGTAAAACAGTAGGTATTTTCAAACACTTCAGTGAAGAAACCCAGAGGGGAGAATATTGAGAAAAAAAAAAAACAAAAACAAAAAAACTCCAGTTGACTAAGGCTCCAGTCTGAAAGCAACTTTATACTCAGTACAACTGAGTAAGTGTCTGGGAATCTCCAGTCTGGACTGAGGAATATTTGGATGATCTAAGCTTCTATGTTCCATTTTAGAATTGACCAGAAAGAGAGTGGTATGGGAAAACAGTGATGACGAGGCTTCCCACTCACCAAAATTGCAGGCCTGGCCACTGAGAGCCGAGAGCTGCTGTGAATAGGCCCAGTCTTCATCATTAGGGGCAGAGATCACCAGCAACCGCCTCCTCCATCGGAACCTGGAACAAGCAGGAGGCATGATTACTGCTTCAAACAATAGAGGCTAGTGTAAGAAAGAGGAGTCACTTTGGCTGGTGGGTTTGCCTGTGCCCAGAATGAAAAACACTGGCCCTTAGAAATATCTCATAGTTCCTCAAAGCCATTAAACTGCATTTCCACATTTCTTGCACTTTTTCTGTTATAACTTCACGGTCTGCCTACTGTAGCATTTGCATGAAGCATCAGGCATGAGCCTGGCCACCATGCCGGGGGGGTCACTTGGGGAGACACAAAGCTCTCAGATGCCATGAAGACTGGCCAAAATGGTATGTTACATTGTAGCCACAGAAATAGGGAATCCGAAGGGAACTGAAGAAAACTCAAGTTCTAATAGAGTTCACTAGGGCTTGGAGGGAGTTAAGAATTGAATGTATGGACAGGAAACAGTAGAAAAAGAGAACTAAATTTAAAGTAGGTGATAGTGACAGGAAGAAGGAAAATGGGGAAGTGGCTCAAAGAGGTCAAGGAGGGTTCCTGGTAAAACAAAGCCCTAGGCATCTTTCTTGGTAGCCGGTGGTTCTTCCAGAAGCAAATGCAAGTTCTAAAATGTAGCCTACCATCATTAGTAAGAACCAACATTACAGAGTCCTCCTGTGAAGTGGGATGGGGCTACACCTAGAGCCTAGGATTTTAGCATGTATGGTAAACCTGTTTCTGCTCCAACACCGTAGGGTAGTAGAAAGAGCTTTTGTCTTATAACCTGAGTTCATGTTTCATCACTGCTAACTTTTTGGGTTCCTTGAGCATGTCACTGAGTTCATCAAAGTCTCAGTTATTCCTTATCTCTAGAACCAAAAATAGCTTCTACTCAAAAGAGATGATAACACCTAAGAATGAAACTAAAACCCATCCATGTAAGTTGTCCATGTGATGGCGTGGATATAGATGGTGGCTTGATTTGTGGGCTTCTAGATGTAGAACTTTGTCTATCAATGGGCCTCGGACATTTGTCGGTCATAATGCCAAATGATAAGTGATTCAGTCCTTATGTTTGTGTCTCATTTCATAGCACACATTCATCTACACTGACAACATTAGAGATCAGTGAAGGCACGGCCTATTGTCTTCATTTTACAGATGACAAAGTGGGGCTTAGAGAAGAGAAGTAATTTGCCTAACTAGTAAATCAAAGAGGTGGTACCAATGGCTTCCCTAGTCTATCGCCCTCAGAGATCCTGAGGCGTGGCTGACGCAGCCGGGGTCCCTCAGGAGATAGGAAGGAAAGAGGGTATGCATCCAAGGGCTAACAGTATGGAGTTGTCTCCAATCCCACTTTCACTGGAAGAGGGCTTGTGCTTTCTGCCTTCTGTGCAGACTACAGTGGGGTGTTAGTGCACTCGCTGAGCTGGAAGCCAGTTGATTATATTCATGACTTCTCTCCCTGTGCTCGTTCTAGCCTCACAGTGAACATGAGAGTTTTCAACCCCACAGAAAATGGCCTCTTGGGGGAATAGTGGTTTGGGTGAATGAGAGAAAATGATAGTCTGATGAAATACAACCTCTGAATGGACGCCTATAGCAAGGCTTGCCAAGGACTGCTTGCTGTGACATTACATTTGCTTCCTCTGCTTGTTTCTCTTCAAAGGGAAAGAAAAACTAAAACCTCCACTGAGGATAGGGAGATGAATGTATTTGGCATGGAGGAGGGGAGAGGAGCGTCTGAAACTGTCCGAGATCTCCTGGGAAAGGGAACAGTGACTGCTGTCGGATCACAAACATGGTCTCCTGCACCCTCCCTGCTTCCTTAGGACGCAGGCCAGCCCAGCACTGGCCCCCCAGCCAGCATCCAAACCAGGCCAGCCTCCTGGCCTCACACAGAGCTGCAGGGTATCCTCGAAGGAGCTATTTTGGGTGAGGTATATTTTGGCTTGTTTACCTGTGTGCACCACTGAATGCTGTCCTGATTGGACAGGGACAGGATCTGAGACTCCCTGTCGCAGACATAACTAGGCAAAGGTCATTTCCCCTAAGTAATGATTCTTTCTCCCACGGACCTTCACATTAAGATACAAGGCTCCAGCTCTCAACACTGAAGGAAATAACTTGCATAGTGGTAACAAGAAGTGTCAACATGGCCCACATCCTTATTTCGGACAAATTGTTCTCCTGTCACTTTAACTTATCAGTAAATAAAAATTCTGTGAGCTGCATGTGTGTGTGTTTTTGCTTCTCTTAACTGGAATTCCCAAATTAGTGTGCATTTGCCCACTCTTTGGGGCTTCTGTCTCAGAGGAATGTAATTATAGCCTGAACCAGATGAGTGTCACTAAAGACCAGACTGGCTTCAGAATCTGGTCAGCTGGAACCAGGCTGTATAGACTCACCAACAACTCAGCAAATTTGAAGGAAAATTCCGATTGGATACTCATTTATTTATAGAACTGCTATTTAAAAAAAAAAAATTTTTTTTTTTTTTCAGTTCTTTTTGCCTGGGTTTCAATCCTGAGGTGTTTACTAAATCTCCCCCTACCTCTCCTTTCACGACAAAGTTCTCTAACTAGGAGCCGAATAACTGGTCCTAATACTACTAATAGCCAGCATTTGTTGATGACTTACTTTGTACTGGGCTGTGTGCCATCAGTACCTTTATTTTTATTTTATTTTATTTTATTTTTATTTTATAAAAAGATTTTATTTATTCATTTGACAGAGAGATAGAGAGAGCCAGAGAGCACAAGTAGGGGGAATGGCAGAGGGAGAGGGAGAAGCAGGCTCCCCGCAGAGCAGGGTATCAGATGCAGAGCTCCATCCCAGGACCCTAGGATCATGACCTGAGCTGAAGGCAGGCGCTTAATGGATTGAACCACCCAGGAGCCCCACCCCCCATCATTACCTCTATTGAATTTACCTTTCACAACAATCTTAAGAATAGATACACTCATTATCCTCATTTTGCAAATGAGAAAACCAAAACTCGGAGAAATTAAATAATCAGCCCAAGGTCACATAGCTAATACATGGAGAAACCAGGAATCAAACTCAGGGCTGTCTTATTCATGCCTTTAGGTAATACACGATTCTACTTTAACTTTTAAGATCAATGATAATTATCAGCACAGTGATTTCATGAGTTGTGACCACAAATCATGCATAGCTATAGGACATCCAAATTATAATCATATCCATTCTGAGTATCTACAGCAGATGCATGTTCCTGACATAGTACTGAATATTAAAGTCCATAAGCCTCTGACATTTGAATGAAAATACATTTACATATCATAGTGCCCTATCCAGTACAAAAGGCTTTAGATGAAAAATGTGCATACAAGTCTTAAAAATCAAAGATATGCCAAATTCAGATCAGTGATCAACCGGAATGAGCACAGCAAGCTTTGTATGTGATCAAAATTGAGATAATGTCAAGCCTTCCCTGTCAAGATTTGAAACCCATGACACAGTAATTATAAAAAAGACAGCCTGCCGGGTGCCTGGGTGGCTCAGTTGGTTAAGCGACTGCCTTCGGTTCAGGTCATGATCCTGGAGTCCCGGGATCGAGTCCCGCATCAGGCTCCCTGCTCAGCAGGGAGTCTGCTTCTCCTTCTGACCCTCCCCCCTCTCATGCTCTCTCTCTATCTCATTCTCTCTCAAATAAATAAACAAAGTCTTTAAAAAAAAAAAAAAAAAGACAGCCTGCCTGGGGACGGTAAGAAAAATCTCTCGGAATGTCTGTAGCTGCAGGTCCCAGAGCTGGCCCAAATCCTTGGCTATAAATAACAACAATGAACTGGGTGGTAAATGCTGTAGAGCGTGGGCAACCTGAGTTTACAGGGTTGGTTCAGCAGGTATGCATCTTTTAGTCCTGGAAGATTTAGAACTAAGAAGAGAAAGTTTTCAAAGAATCATAGTGATAATATATATTTCTAAGAAGGATCCTGGTCTTCTTTATATACATAATTTATGTTCTCGTGAAACTTAAGAGAATTTGGCTTAATAAAATGACAACCTTGAAACTTTAAATTATAAAGTGTAATTGAGTAATTGGCTTAGATGTGTGGTTTTACATTGTGTGCAGGTACTAGAACATCTGAGAAGACTTTATTTTTTTTTATTTTTTATTTTTTAAAGATTTTATTTATTTATTTGACAGAGAGAGACACAGCGAGAGAGGGAACACAAGAAAGGGGAGTGGGAGAGAGAGAAGCAGGCTTCCCGCAGAGCAGGGAGCCCGATGCGAGGCTCAATCCCAGGATCCCGGGATCATGACCTGAGCTGAAGGCAGATACTTTAACGACTGAGCCACCCAGGTGCCCCCTGAGAAAACTTTAGATTCACTGTATTTATACGATTACTGGATCATTTAAGTACTCAGCAGGGTTTTATTTGTTTATTTCAAACAATTCAAAAATACATATTAAATGTAAAATGTTTGAAATAATAAAATTGTTTAATTATTGAGTTTGCAAGCAAGATCAAACATTATTCAAAGCCCATTAAAAGTGATAGCTAAAATTTGCTAGGTTATAAATAGAATAATAAGATTTAAAAGCCAAACTTAAAAGTTTGAGAGCTACGGTCTTAAATTTATAACTTGGATATATTTAACACTAATTGTGAAAATCAAAAGTAAACTTCTAAAGAATCTTATCTGCCATAAGGAAGGAAGGGAGGAAGGAAGGAAGGAAGGACGGAGGGAAGGAAAGAAGGAAGGAAGGCAAGCAGGCAGTCCGAGGGAGGGGAGGGGAGAGCAGGGGAAGGAAGGAAAAGGAAAAAGAACACCTCAAGGGAACCAGAAAGCTTTTATCATCAATCTTCTACATCAGTGCCATCGAGAGGGATGACCTTGGACCAGAAGTTGATGTTTCAGTGCACCCAAGACTAGACAAAGAGCCATCTGTCCAGTGGAGTGGTAGAGCCCTTTCTCAGCCAAGAGAGTGGCCTGAAGACTGAGTCGAGCCTCACATCCTTCTAAAGACATGCCCCTTCCATCTCCATTCAGATGCTTGCACTGCACTGAAAATTTGAATGAAGGAAGAACCTCAGGTTCCTTTCAGCTCTGAAATCCTGTGGTTTTAGGGATATCTCTCCTTGCTTCAAACCCAGGGCTTCTGGTTCCAAGACTAAAAATAATTCACATTATATTTTCAAAAGGAGTATTAGGCAAGAATGTGGACTTTGGGAGCTCAGTTCTCCTGGGGCCACTGAGTCCTAGAGCTGACACTAGCTCAGTGTTGACAGTTATTTAATCTCCATTAGCCTCAGTTGTCCCATCTGCAACACAATAATACTTACAGTATTCAGATCCTAGAATTGTTGTAAAGATTAAACTCAGGAGGGAAGATGAAGTGTTTGGCACAGAGGCAAGCATACCAAAAGTGATCTCTTGGGACACCTGGGTGGCTCAGTTAGGTGTCCGCCTATTTTGGTTCAGGTCATGATCTCAGGGTCGTGAGATGGAGCCCCCTATTGGGCTCTGTGCTGGGCATAGAGCCTGCTTAAGATTTTCTCCCACCCTTTCCCTCTGCCCCTCCCCCTGCTACTGTGCACGCACTCTATCAAAAAAAAAAAAAAAAGTGATCCCAGCAACCCTGGGATGTAGTCAGGGCTACTTGTTAATATTCTCCATTATGGGTGAGATTTTTAAGGCAGGTTAATAGAGAAACATAGAGAAATCAACATAGCTAGTAAATTGCAGACCCCAAATTTGGATGAACAATAAGTCCTATGCTCTTTTCACATTGTGAAGTTCTCTTTTAAGAGACCCAAGCCTCCCGAATCTAGAGGAATTCAGATGATCTATTCATCTACTAATCATAGAATCCTTGATTCTCCAACTCACATATGGAGAATATGCTCTATAAACACAAGTAAGAAGTTAACAGCTTCCAAGTTAATGAGTCTCCAAGTAAATGCTGCTCCATTTCTGGAGCCCCTTAGCCATACAGTCCAGCTAGGTGTGGGGGGTGCGGAGGGGAGATGTTACACTGAGATCTCTGTGCGTTTATTTGTTGTCAGTGGAATTTCTGCCGCTTTGTACCTCCTAGGGCCCCAAAGGCCCTGTAGAATTTTTATCCAACATGGGGGAAGGGATGGAGAAGGGAGAAAGTGGAGCAATTGTTTAAATCAATCTTCTCTAAATAAATCAAATTTATTGAAATTTTCCTACAATGGCTTTCAATAAACTCTACTCCCCAGGGAATCAGGGAGCTGGGTCAAGAGGATTTCTTCTTTTGAGGTCCTAGAGGGGGCTTTTGTTGTTTTCTGCACAGTTAGAAGGAAGTGGAAAATCAAGCAGAGTGTTCTAAATCCTGTTTGGAACCAGAGGGGCCTAATAAATAAATATGTAAAATAAAAATGCTGTATACAAAGCCCTCTAAATTCACTGATAGAATAAATGAACCCTCCCAGGTCAGAATTCTCTATTCTGTGCCAAAATAGGAGCCATAAAGAGAGAAAAGACCTATCCAAAACCACCAAATCAATATTCAATCTTGGAGCTGACCCCAGTCAACCTTGTGACCAGAGCCCTTTCAAAAGACTAAGCCCAGTGGCCAGAGGGCTATGAAGCAGACAGACCTTCCACCAGGGAAGGTCTGCACACAGGTCTACTTTGTGTTTCCTTAGCCTTTGTATTAGCTCACCCAGAACACCTTCCCACCCACCTCCTCAGGGACTCCAAAGGTGGGGTACCTGGATAGGAAGTTCTCCAATGACTGCTTCTTGTCTTCCTTGCAAACAATGCCCTCCTTCTTCTGCTTTTCCATGTCTTTGATTCGGGACTGGAATGTATCGATCAAATCGAACACAGACTTCATTGATATAGGCACTTCATAGTATTGCTGTTTAAGAACGAATAGAAAGCATATAGTGTATAAGGGTGTTTCCTCCCTCTGTTTGGAGGATAGAAAGCCTGGGAGAATTCAAGAGAGCACTGGAGAAATCAGAGCCTGGAGGGTTCATTGATTTATAAACTAAACTCTCTTTTGCAAAAGTACCTCTGTTGATGTTTTGAGGTTCAGAATCCATGAAACAACTGTCCCTTACCTTTTATGAGAATTTTTTGCATACCTTTTAGTGGAAAGGGTCCGTGCCTTCCTCATCACACATATTTTAGGTTCGCTTCCCTATTTCTAGGACTAAACTGGTTCCTGTTCACTACACCACTGAAGAGAAGGTGAGAAATACTATAAACAACACAGGAATGGAATAACCTGTTAAGAGTATCTGACCTGAACAATAAGGGTAATATTCCACCAGAGGGAGGACTGTTCTGTGGTCATCAGGAATCCACATAAACCCTTTGTGATTCCCAGAGACTGTTTTATTGAGCAAGCGCCACTTAAAATTAGGTCATGTTTCTATACGTATTCTCAGAAAAAAGTTGGAATCCAGCTTCAAGATAATGCAATTCAGTTTCCTGGATCACAGCTGTCTGGACTTACAACAGCAACCTAAGATGGATTTGAGGGCTGGATGAGCATAGGCAGCATAAACTAGAGAGAAGTCTGGACATAGCTTGGAGTTCTGCCCCCAGTGGGAATGTGAAATGTGAAAGCTGGCAGAGACCTTTGGGCCCATCTAGTCCAGCCCCTCACATTAGAGGTGGGGCAACACAAGTGAGGAATGGATTAATAAAAGGTGCTCTCGCCAGATCCAGAAGAATACTGCAGGTTGGATCAGCTATTCCTATTCCGTTAGTCCAGGTGACCTTTTTCCTGATGATTTTCACATAAGCCTGGTATGCTATTGATGTGCCGAATAGTTAAGACGTGCAAGCTGGAGCCCGCCTGCATGGGTATGAAGCCCAATGCTAATTGGGTGAACGTGGGCAAGTTACTTAATCATTCTGGGTCTCTCTTTGTTCTTCTGTAAAATAAAGGTAATACTTGTTATTTATCTCAGAGGTTTGAGATAGGGATTGTAAACGGTTGACGTGAGTGCCTGGCATGCAGAAAACACTTAATAAAGTTAGATATTTTTGATAGTACTATTATAATTATTATTAGTGTTACTACATGGCACAGTTTTTCATGGGTCAGAACTTCTGTCCCTAAGCATAGGAAGAAAGTAGGTATAAAACCCTGCTGTTTTAGCTTTGTGCAGTGGCAGTATCGTAGCCAATGAGGTTTATCCGAGGCGCGATTATTGCTAATTGAAAACCCTGCTGTCTTGTCCATGTTGGATCAGGAGGTAAACTTCCAGGCCCTTCCAGAGTAGGTCATGTTAAATCTGGCTTTCCTGAAGGAAGAAGCCAAATACTCTTCACCTTTTATCCTTTGAGCCTGGCACATCATAGCTATTCAACCAGTGTCTGATGAATGCATGACACTGAATTTTGTCTGAGTCAAACAGCTGGGCCACAGGAGGCCATCCAACCCAGCTCTTTCCATATACTTCATTTCTAGGCACAAATTCTAGAGGGCGATGTGGAATATCTGAACCATTCCAAACCTTTCCACTTATAAAATAATCTGTGCCTATTCATATGTCTAATTGATTCATTGGCAAAAAATTCCGAGTTGTATTCAAAGGAATAGAACTGTATCATCTAAAACAGAAACCCATACCTTGACTCTAAGGTCCACATCTGTGAGCACCATGAAGAAGTCATTATAGGTCATTCCATACTCTTTCCTCAGCTCACCAATGAGATGCTGGTCTACCAAGTCCTCATCATCCACCACTCGCATAGGTTTTTCATTATCTTAAGGCAAGTGAAATGTGAATAAATATAGGTGCAACAAGACAGAAATAAGTGGGAAGCAAATGGGTGAAGGCTCTGGGTCTCCATCCTGAGTTAATTAGAACAGCTTTCATTAATTACACACATTCAACTAACATTTTGTTTGAACAAAAGTTTCCCAAGTGAATAAGTAAATATAGAAATAAATGAATAAACTAATTTTGAAAGTCAGTACTCTGACTGACTTGATCAAGCCCCACCTCTGCCTACCTTGGTCGTAGTGAATCAGAATGAGCAAAGTGAGAGTGAAGGCAGCTGAGTCATCCCTGAAAGAAGACCGCCAATTCTACCCTGGGAATGAGACATCACCCCACCTCACCAAGGAGATTTAAAATTTATTTTAGTTTTAGTTATTTATTTAGTTGAGTCTAAAATCTGTGTCTTTTCCTCACTTTTATTAGAGAATCACCTTGGGACTCAGTGAACTATGTCATTGCTATAGAGAAAAATAAGCCTAGGTTCAAGCCTGGCCACAGGTTCATTTTAGCTCCAGAAATGTAGGGCTTTTTATAATACAAATGTTGTGAGTGAAGACAATTTCAAGCCACGTGTTACTAAATGTACGGAAGTTTTTAACCATTATGTATTTTTTTAAACATCAAGCCCTAAAAATAAATTACTATAATTTGAAATCGTTCTTGAAGAGGTCACTAGGTTGATGGGAAGTATGAACATGGCAACTCCTATGTCTCTGGAAATCATTTTAACATTTCTGAGATGATAATGCTACTTCCCTCCCTTACATGTCACCGTGTTTCCCTCAACCTTACTAAAATATTTCTCTGCAAAATAATCCCCTGTACTTAAAAAAAAGTGAAAAAAATTAAAGTTAGCAAATATGTGATAATAGATATATTAGTGAAAAGAGTCTATCAGTTACTATCCACATTGCTACCCATGAATAATATTATAGTAGAAACAACCACAGTTTTGCAGATACAGAGGTTATAGAGCTTAAGTACCATAGACCATTGCTCTTTTATGGATTAAAAGGGGATGATTACAATTTAACTATTACTTTGGTTTATTTGATTAGGATCATTGAAAGTATACAAACAAGGAACTTGATTTCCCCCAAAGCAGATCAAAACATGAGGAGAAAGAATCTATTTTCCTCCCCCAAATTGTGACAGTTCTTCATGCAGGGGGTTCAAAGACATGGGAGCTGACAGCTTATATGAAGACCAAGCACTGTCTGCAAAATGAAAAATGACATGCTTCATGCATATGAACTATTTTTTAAATGTATATTTTTTGCTGCCATTAATTAATTACAAGTAATGAAAAAGAATTGCCAGATCCATGTTGGTTTTTGTTTAATATGTCTCATTGAGCAAAAAAAGCAAGTTGCTGAAGAAAATGTATAGTAAACGTTACTCTTGGTTAAAAGGAAATAAAGCAAAAGAAAACACATCTGCACAGGAATAGACGCCAGAGAATGTCCGGAAGGACATCTAGCTGGTAACAATGGCTGCCTCTAGGGAATGGAAAAGGTGAGGTGGAAGCTTTCATTGTTTATTTCACACACGTCTATAGCATTTAAAGTTTAACAAGAAGCATACTTTACAATTAATAATAATAATACTAAGGTAAATCATTAAAAACTGATTTAAAAAATGTTTTTAACAACTGATGTTTCTAAAATTTTACAAACAAGATTTTATCTGGAACCTAAGGATTAGCATTTTTAATTCCCAACATACAGTCGTTCATTCAACAAAATATTTGTTGCCAGTGTCCTGAGCTAAGTCTATGCTGGGCCCAGGATTCAGAGATAAGTAACTTGGATGGAGTTCAAGTTCCTAATTAGAATCAAAACTAAACCATTACATCTACCTAACAGAAAAAGTTACAAAAACCCCTGAATGGCTGAGATGGAAGGAGATTGTGGTAGATTTCAAAGATGGCCCCGACTCATTACCCCTCTCTATACCTAGACTCTTTGCTTAGTAACTGCAGCTCTCATTAAGGTGAATGAGTTCAACTATCCTGCCCCTTGATTCTGAGCTCATCTATACAACTTGCTTTGGCCAATGCTAGCTGATGTCAGCACAAGTGACACAGACAGAGGTTAGAATTGGGCCTGTACATTTGGGATTGCTCTTGCCTCTACCACGGCCATGAGAACAACATCCACACTAGCCTTCTGAAAGCTAAGATACACCAAGTCACCCTGGCCCCAGCCCAGACAGGGCCAATCCAGATCAGCCAACACCAGTTGACCACTAACGTGTTCAAGCCCAACTAAGATCAGCAGGACTGCAAATACATGGACCAGCCTCACTGAGGCTCACCAAGCCCTGCCCAGATGAGCAGAACCCTACAGACATGTGACTGAATGTTTAATAATTATATGCCACTGAAGTGTGCAGGTCTTCTTTACAAAGCCTTATTGTGGCAATAGAGAAGTGATACAGACGTTATCTGGCACAACCCAGTCACATTATCAAGAAACAATAATATAGGAAACATTATATGGAACAGGAACTGAAGAAGACACTGTGGTGTGTTGTCCAGATCCCACCTTGAGACGCAAGGCAGCTGTGAAGCTGAGCAGCTGACTCCCTCTCCAAAAATCACTCTCCTTGGAAAAGTACTGCCTTTCCCCCTAGTCACACACTTACTAGGGGAGAGCCCACATTCAATGGTTGATGAGGTGGGGAGGGGGTAGATCTAAAAGCTGTCCCCCTTGCCTCGAAGTGGACCATTCTGAAGGTTTGACTGCATTACAATTAAAATTCTCTCTCTGTTCTCGCCTATCCCTCACCTCTCATAAGCATTATTCCTGAGAATACTCCCCATTCACCCCATGCATGCAAATCTCAGAGTCTCAGAGTCTTTTTCCCAGAGGATGAACCTATCACAGAGCCCACGAGGGGAGCAACTTGCTCAAGTTCACATTAGTAGTTAATAACAGAGTGAGGGTGAAGCCTCAGGTAATAAGACTTCACTCTTCTCTAGTGTTCTCTCTAGTTTACCAAAATATGTCCCACTCAAGGATAGGAAGGACCTATGACCAAGATTTAAGCCAAACTTTGTTGTAACTGGGATATAGCAAGAAACCAATTTCATGGTCTGATTTCTCCTTTCAACTGAAATATTTTCTGAAACATTCTGACTCAACATTAAACATAAAACATTTTACACTTCCAGACTACAGAATATCTAAATCCCAAATGAACGTTTGTGTCAAGGAGGAGCATCCACCCCCCTCAAAAAACAATGAAAACACTGATCAACAGTGGCTGCAAAGATGGGCGCAGCTCTACCACAAGACAGAGTTCCCCTCTGGCCCAATTCTGGGTATGTGCGAAGCCAATTCCCAGCTCAGCTGCCTGCCCTGCTCCAGGTCTCTGTTAACGCTCTGCATTCTGTCTCAGTTGGAGCTGAGACAGGACTGGGTGAACACGAGGCTCTCCTCAGTCTGGAAATGCAGCATACATCTGACAGCTTCTTGTTATACTTATCCACGTTTTGCCAAAGCTCTCTAGTCCTCATTCACAGGGCTTAGAAGCAAACATTCTTTAGGACACCTCCTATAAACATCCTATAAACGTCCACATGATCTTGATCCAGCTAAACGGATTCCCAGATCCAGACTCATTTGGTGGGATTTGGCTATCCCACACAGCTTGTCCCTGACCTAAGGTGACTGAGGAGGCACAGAAGGGAGTGTGAACTCTGTCACACGCTGGTGGGGACCTGTCCTGCAAGTACAGCATTGGCTTGGGTTTCCATCCTTGAAGAACCTCAATTCCAAAAGTCAGTGGCCAATTTCACATTGCAGTAGATTCGTTCATGTATTTGTTCTTCCAAGTCTGACTACAGACAGCAATGACATTGCCGAAAAATTCTGCTCCAGTCACAACTAATTAATCACCAACTGGTGCCAGGCATTACGTTCGAAGCTTCCATCCGAGATGGCTTCTTCTCTGTGATATTCATGGTATATCTCCTCCTCCTACCCTGTCCTACCTGAGTTTAGGCATTCTGCCAATGTCCCTGGACCACATCAGCCTCTCCCACTGCTTCAGAAGTTTCTTATCTCCTCTAGCAGTTTTTCAAAGCATGATCCACTGTCTACCTTCATCACAATCACCTGGGGCACTTGTTAACATTACAATCCTTGGATCCAGAACCATTGGATCAGAGTTGCTAGTCGTGAGGCCCAGGAATCTACATTTCTTTTAAAGATTTATGTATGTATGTATTTATTTATTTATTTGAGAGAGAGAGCATGAGAAGGAGAGGCAGCGGGAAAAGGAGAGAGAATCTCAAGCAGACTACACGCTGAGCACGGAGCCCGACTTGAGGCTCCATCTCACGAACCTGAGATCACGACCCCAGCTGAAAAGGAGAGTCGGGACGCTTAACCGACTGTGCCACTCAGGTGTCCCAGCAATCTGCATTTTAACAAGTTTTCTGAGTGACTGTTATGCAGTCTAAGGACAGAGAACAAGGACAGGATAAAATCCAAATCTTAGGCTTAGCAACCAAGGCCATTTCTGTCCTGAAGTCAGCTGATCTTAGCTAGCTGATCCTTTAACTCTTCCGAATATTATGCTCCAGCTTCTGTTTTCGGTTTCTGGAAATACGCCTTCTCTTTCTGGAATGCTATCCCTACCCTTGTCCACATGGGATCTAAGTACCTGTCAACCTGTCTCTACCTCATCCGTGCACTCACAACACTTTTACATGCTTCTGCAAACATGCTTATCACCTTGCACTGCAAGTTGTTTATGCATCTGTCTTCCCACTAGATATGAGCAATGCATCAATAGGGACTGACCTTTGATTATCTTCTAAATCCCTGCAGCCTGGCACACATAAACACTAGGTACAGATCTGGTAATCACAAAATCTCTTCCCTAAGAAAGATGTCACGTAAAAAGAAAAAAAAAAGAGGGTAGTGAGGGATAGAGTAAAGAAGGTGAGCAATTCTGAGTCTATACAGAGAACCCATCGTTAAACCCTTGCACTTCCTTTATCTTGTGAGCCTATAACACAGCCATTCTAAGTGTAATTTGAGACTCATCATATAGATTTATTTTCTAAATTTGGGTTTTCATGTATGAGGTCTTATAATTGTATTGCTCATATTTTTAATTTTCTATATATTATGATCTTTTGACATCTTAAAAACCCTTTCTGACTGGGGAGAGACTGCCCCTCCCAAGGCTAGCCAATTCTTAGAGACAGCAAAAGGTCCAGCCTGCAGCAGCTCTCTTAAATTCAAGCCATCCAACCCAATACCCTACCTCCTGGATCTGGCACATGCACCCCAGGAAACAGTATTCCTTTGCTTTAATCATCCCAGGGTCAGGTACCAGGCAACTAGGGACCACCCCTATAGCCCAAAGCCTGCTGAAATCATTCAAACTAGCCAACCAGAAACTATTCACCATGTCCTGCCCTGCCTTTCTCTTGGGAACCCCGGGGATAAAGGCAGTGACCAAGGCTCTCCCCTCCTTGTTCTGCTTTCAGACCCAAGCCAGGCTCCTCTTGTGGCCCTGGGAGGCATACTGCTCTTTCCTCTCTGGGACCCATGAGCAATAAATTCTATTTTCCTTTGGCATTCTGATCTTTTGAGTGTCATTCACTGTGCTGCCCCATTCGTCACCATACCTTAATAAACCCTGTTGGAGGGGAGGGTAACAGGCAGCATAGATAAAGTGTGTTTATATGGCATTTAAAATATAACTATCCTATTCAAGAAGTCAGCACAGGCCAAAGCTGTGGATAAATCTGAAAGCAAAGACTCCAGCAGAAGCTGAATTGCTTTGATCTCAAGAATATTTCTGGGATTGCTGAGCAGTCTGTAGTAGATTAATCTCAGTTAGGATAACCCTGGGCTCCACCGATGGGATTTACTTTCTTTTGATTGGAAACAGATCAATTTAAATGACTTTGTAGTTGATTCCCCTCCTCCTATTTTACTGTTTGAGTGGGCTGGTTGCCTGCCTACCAACCCCTGTGAGATGAGTGTCTGGATTAAACCTATAGGTGGGACTAGCCTGGCCATTCCTGATCACAAAGTTGCTGCTTTCACTTGATCTCTAGAAAGAGCAACTTGTCCCATCAATGAAGAAAGTGTCCTGCCAGGTTCTCTTCTGTTCCACAGACTAACTCTACCAAAACTTAGAAGTTATTTAAAATTTATTTGAAAAATATACTTAGAAATCTTTAGTGACTCCACATGGTTTACCAAATAAAGTTTGGATTCTCTGGCCTGGTATTTGGAATCCTCTAAAATCTGGTGCCAGCCTCTTTTTCCCTCTGTTCTACACTTAATCTTCTGCTCTCAAGCAAACCTAGCTGCAAATCAGAACCACTCAGGCAACGTTTTAAAAATATAAATTCCCGAACCTTATCCCCAAACTGGCTCAATATCTTGGAAGGGGGAAGGGAGCCAGAATCTGAATTTTCATCCTCATTTATAAAGAGTACCTATAAATTGAGATTAAAAAGAACAATCCTGGGGCACCTGGGTAGCGCAGTTGGTTAAGCGTCTGGACTCTTGGTTTCAGCACAGGTCATGATCTCAGGGTCATGAGACTGAGCTCCGCATCAAGCTCCGCGCTCAGCATAGAGTCTGCTTGAGATTTTTCTCTCTCCTTCTGCCCCTCCTGCTCATGCTCTCTCTCTCTCTCTCACATAAATAAATAAATAAATCTTTTTTTTTTTTTAAAGAACAATCCAAGAGAAAAAGAGGTAAAGGACACTAAAAACAAAATATAAATGCTTCCTAAACATATGCAAAGATGTTCAATCATACTCATAAGAAGAAAAATGCAAACCAGCAACACACTGCACTAAGATATCATTTTTCACATACCGCATTGGCTAAAAACATTCACAAGTTTGGTTATACACTCTGTTGGAGAGGTTTAGGGAAATAGACACTCATACATGCTGGTGCGATGACAGTATGATACACCTTGTGTGGAGAGAAATCTGGTGATATCTAACAAAGATAAATACATTTTCCACTTGGCCCAATAATCCTGTTTCTCCGAATTTATTGTAAAGATATACCCACACAGATAGAGTGACATAGGATAAGGTTATTTACTGTGAAATTGCTTATAATAACAAAATACTGAAACTAATCTAAGTGTCCATTGACAAGGTGACTGGTTAAATAAACTGTGGTAGAATTTTATAATGGCTTAATAAAGAATGAGGACAATTTCTATATACTCATAAGGGAAGGTCTTCAGGAAATATTTTTTAGGTGAAAAAAGCAAAGTTCAGAGTAGTATAAATACTATATCTTGTACTAAAGGGGGGATATAGGTGTTTATATTTATTAGTATTTGCATAAAGAAGCACTAAATTCATAAATAAGAAATCATAGGGGTGCCTGGGCGGCTCGGTCGTTAAGCGTCTGCCTTCGGCTCAGGTCATGATCCCAGGGTCCTGGGATCGAGTCCTACATCGGGATCCCTGCTCTGCGGGAAGCCTGCTTCTCCCTCTCCCACTCTCCCCGCTTGTGTTCCCTCTCTCACTGTCTCTCTCTCTGTCAAATAAATAAAATCTTTAAAAAAAAAAAAGTATTCGTGAGGGTCACGCCAACAAGGACACTTCCCCACTCCCAGTCATACCCACTCCCCAACCAGGCTGCCTTCCTTTCCTCTTTGAGGCTTCCACTCTGATAGAGACCTAATTAGGAGAAAAAGGAGAAACTTGACCATTTCCCCATACACATGCTTCTAGTTCCTAAGCTCATGAAGAGATACATCCTCTGCCTAAGTTGTGACCAGAGTCAATGCATGCCATTTTAGGAACTCCTTTGTTCTTCTTTTATTCTTTGAACTTGGTAAAAGGGAACTCTTACCCAGAACTATCCGTTGGAAGAGAGCTAAGGATGGGGGATGGGTACTGACAAGTTTGGAAAAAGCTGTGCATAGAGGCCTCCCTGGGCTTATGTCTAAGGGCTCCCGGCCATTGAGTCTGGACCTCAGGGCCACGAACCTGTGTGGACAGAGTATGGTTCATAGAGCACTAAACCAAAAGGAGCTACTGGCCTAGCTGCCCTTTCTGGATGAACCTCCTGATCTTCTTGACATGGCACGGATTCAGCCACAGTCTGCCATCCAGCAACATGATTGTAGAAAAATAACGTAAAGCAAACATTACCATGCCCTGCCTCAGCCCACAGAACAATGCTGGGGAGAAGATTACTTACAAGAAGCCTTCGTTTGCCTTCAAAGGACCCCAGCAGATTGGTCACCGACTTCCTGGGACTCTGAGCGAAGTGTTTGGTGGTGGGTTTCAGGTAGCCCTCCTGCTCTGTTTTCCCTGCTTTTTTCTTCTTGCTCTTCTCTTTCTCCTGCCTGCTCTTTTTCTCAGCCTTCTCCTTCTTCACCTGCCTTTCACTCTTGAGTAACTTGTCTGCTTTCTCATTTTTCACCTTTTTTTTCTTCTCCTTCTCAGGTTTCTCAAGCTTTTCATGCTTTTTCGATTCCTTTGCTTTTTGGGGGGGAATATTTCCCACCTGCAACTCCTCCTCCAGCTGAGAGGCAGTAGGCCTGCTGAGGTCATACTTACTCTCATACTCATTGCTAAGAATTTTGTCCTGGGCTTTCTTTTTGGGAGGTTTCCCCTTGGCTGGCTTGTGAGGACCTGGCACCACATTTGGGTCCCGGTGGCCGTGCTCCCGCCTGTCTGTGCGGTTGTCCCGGAAACGTCCCGCGCCCGCCCTAGTGCTGTGCTCTGAGATGGTGGTGGGAGGGGCAGCCGTGAAGCTCTCGAAGCCGGTGGCCTTGCCGGGCCTCCTCGTGGTCTGCAGCCTCTCCCTGTGCTGCTCCTTCCTGGGCTGAGGGTAGAGATTCTCTGAGGCCCCGGGCTCCCTGGCAGGGGCCCCCTCTGCCGTTGCGGGGGGCCTATGGGCGTCTGAGGAGGGGAGCACCCTGGGGGTCCAGGGCTTCTGGGTGGTGGGAAAGGCCGTGGTGGTTGTCAGTCTTGCAGCTGCAGTTACCACCCGAGAGGTGGCCCGGGTCACGGTTGGGACTGCAGCAGGAGGCAGGGTGGTGGCCCTTGGGGTTGGAGGAGGCGGGGGAGGGGCGGCCGTGGTGGCGGCCGGCTTTCTCAGCACCTTCACCCGACTCTCTCTGGTCGGTGGGACTTGGGCTCTCCTCTGGTCGTCCTTTCTCTTCTCACTGCTCACGACCGGCTTTCCTGCCCCTCCGCCATTGTTCCCCTCCTCCACCACCTGGCCCTCGACCCCAGAGGCCTTACATTTTTGGACAAAACCCTTCTGCCTGATTTTCTCTATCCTGCGGATGGGGCCTTGGTCGATGATCTCATACAGGGCCTCCAGCCTGACGGGATAGGGATAGCGCTCCTCCACCTGCAACGTCTTCTTCAGCAGCACCATGCCAAACTTCCCCTTCTCCAGCTTCAAGAAGCTCATCAGCTTTGGGATGAGGTTGGGGTCCAGGGGCTGCTCCAGGACCCGGCCCTCACTGGTGATCCTCCGCACCTTGCCTCCTTCCTCGCCTGCCTGGTGGAACAGCACAATCTGCTGGATGTGCCTTTCCGCCAGCTCGCAGTACACATCGTCCTTCAGGAGGCTCATCATGAGCCGGTAGTAGCCCTCCGAGGCGTGAGGGGCCGAGATGACCCAGACCCTATTCTTCCCTGCAAAGCTGGCAAGGATGTTGGGAGAACTGGACCCAGAGGGGAAACGCAACATTCTTGAGCGAGCTGAGGAGCCCTCATCTCGGATCATGTCACGGGGAGAGCTCGGGGCTACTGGTCTCTGCTTGGGTCGCGCTGGCGCCCCACTGATGTGCTGTGGGGCCGGCGGCATGGTTGTCGCGGGAGCTACTCTCAACACCGGCACACTCCTCCTTCTCTGGAGAGGCGGAAGGTTTGGTTCTTCCAGAGTGCTTCTCTCAATTCCCTGAGACCTCCCCGTGTGCCTCAGCAGCCGAGCTGGCCTTCTGCTGGCTGGGGAAACCAGAGGTGCTTTCCGCCCTCCGTGGCTCCCCCTGTTCGTGGCATGGAGGTGGGGTTCTGAACCACACACCAGCCACATTGCCAACAGCATGGTAAAACTGAGTCCCATTCTCCATGTCATTGTGCAATCCACTTTGAAAGGCAGCAGGGTCAAAAGACAGAAAGGGAGAGGGGGAATGGAAAAAAAAAAAAGAAAGAAAAAGAAGAAAATCATTTAATTGCAAACAGAACTGGGCATTTTCTCTTTCTCTGTCTTGGCCAAGGGGGTGGGGGAAGGGGTGGTGAAAGAAGAAGCAAGGAGGTCAGGGAATGGAAAAAAAGGATGAGATCCTGTTGCTTTTAAACCCCTGTAATTTGTTAGTGCTTAACAGAGACAGTTACATTAAGCAGGAAACCCAGCTCGGTTCCCCATTCAGCGTGCTTGCCCTGTTTCCACCCGGTTCTCTGATGCTCCAGAGAAAAGGCACACTGAGCATGTTAATTATGACAACATTCCTGTTTCATTTCTTCAAATGAGCAACCAAGAAACAAACAAACACACCAAAGACAGCAAGGATTACACACTTACATCGTGGCTCATGGAGATGGAATGCAGAGGGTTTAAAAGGCAATCTGAAGTGTGGGTCCCAGGACAGTTTCCTAGATGAAATACTTTTCCTCCCAAGCCTCGTTCTCCTTCGCCCGGCTGAGCAGTACAAAGGGGGGGTGTGCTGCCGCTCCGGCTCCCAAAGGCGCCACGGACCCACAGCCTGTCCTGACCTGAGGGCCGAGCTGCTTTCTTCTTTCCTCTGGCTGTCTTCTCACCTTCTTGACAAGTAGGATGAGGGGAAAGGAGCTGTCCTTGTGAGTCTTTGCATCTCCATTTGTCTGTAGTTTCTGCTCGTGTGTCTGTGTGTGCCAGTCCCCGTGCCGACAACACAGGGCACCCCTGAAAGTGAAGTCCCAGCTCTCCCTGACTCTTGCTCTTTCTCTCTTTAGAGTTCCAGGATCCTTCTTATCACCCTTTCCCCCACAGTCTGGCTGAGTCCCTTTGTTTCCAAGCCTGAAAGCACTGGGATTAATATGTTTTCCAGGCTGAGAGAAAACACAGGAATGTGATGTTGAAAAAGGACTTTTTTCTTTTCCTGTTCTTCTCCCCTCCTTTATTTCTCCCCACCTTTTTTTTTTTTTTTTCCTCCTCTTTTCCTTCTCCTTCTTTTTCTTCTTCCTCTTGCCTGGACCCGGTCCCAGAAATGCCAGGACAACCTCAGTTTTGATCCAAACCAAACTCAAACAACAGCAGCTGCTGGAAATCAAGGAAACTTCACTAAGAATTTAACAGATCAGCAAAACACCACCTCCTTCCCACTTCAGCACGTTGAGAGTGGACTCGGTGGGGAAGGAGAGGGCTGTTCTTTGGGGTGGGGGAAAAGTTTTGAAACACTACACATCATCATAAATCACTTTAGAATAGGATGGCTGAGGACTTAACCCCTTCCATACCAAGGAATCAGGATACTTTCCCTTTCTGTCTGGACTCACACTGCACGTCGGGAAGGGAAAATTCTCAGATTTCTGCGTCTGGCTGCTTGGTTTTCCTGGGGACAGATACTCATTTGGGTCAGGGTGCTTGGCTGTACATCCATGGACAGTATATATATATTTCTAGTTCCGTGTGTATATTTTTATCTCTTTCTCCCTGTTTTATGTGTTTAGTTTGAGGTTGGAAAAGCCCATGGAAAGCATGACTGGATTGTTTTTATTTTATGCTAATTGGGGATCATATTACTGAGTTCTTGTTCCTCGTTTTCTCTTTGGCCTGGAAGGAAGTTGGGAAAAGGTTAGAAATGGCAGGCGATGGTTGCTGTTCCCCTGAGACTGTGGCTGGTCATTACATCAGGGGAAGGGCATTATGACCTCCAGCCCTGGGCTCTGGCTAGAGATGGTAGGCTAGGGGCTTCCTCGGAGGACATGAGTGTGTGAGAGGGTATGGGGGGAAGTGCAGGACTGTGCTCTCCAGAGGCTGCAGGAGTCTGGAGGGTTTTAGGCAATCCTTAGAAGTCACCAGATCAGGTTCCAAAGGGGAGACTGAGGCAGCTGTGTGTATCCACCTCCTGGGTCTGCCATGGGCATTCGGCTTTTGGTGGTGACAGTACGTGTCTCAGGGTATACAGATATCTCTTCTAGTCTCTGAAAAAATATCATTCAGTCGGTATTAATTGCCACAGACAGTGGTGAACCAGGATTCTCAGAAGGCTGCTTCAAGTTAGTCCATGTTAGTGGCTACTCTCATTGGCTAAAACCTAGCTCCTAATTGCTACTCCTTGATCAGCCCCATCTCTGACTGGTCACATTTACCTTTCCTTCACGTAAGGTCCCAGCACTGAATGAAAGACCTGTAGGGGGAGTAGTGTAGGCTTCTCAGCCCACCGCTTGAAGACCAAGGGGTGCCAAGAGGAAGGGCTCTCCTGTGGAGCCCTTTCTGACACTTGTGAGTACAGTAACAAAGGTGGACTTCAGACAGAGACCCTCGGTCCGCTGGAGTCGGAGAAGACATCCCCTTTCATGGGTTCACTTGTTCAGTTGATCAAATAAATGCCTTCTGCTAAGTTGGACAGTCCTAGATGCTATTTCCTTTCTCACATCATAATGTGTTCTACGCTATCCTTTACTGAGCCTTCTTCTTTCCTTCTCTTTTCCTTTTGTCTTTTCCCTACTAATAACACTACCATTTATTGAGCATTTTCACGTGCATCTCTGGGCTTGGTGCTTTCATATATTCCTTTATCTATCCCTCACAGCATCTCTTTGAGATAGGTGGAATGATGCCCATTTTACAGATGAACGTATTGAAGCTTACTAAGTTTAAATAAATTGCCTACCATCACACAAATCGTAAGTGGTAGCTCCGAAATTTGAGCCCAGGTTTAGAACTACCTAGAAAGCATGTTATCCTGTCCCCATCTTTCATGTTCTCTCCATGTCCTCTTTTTTCTCTTCCTTCAACTCCTTTTTTGTGTTTCTAGTATTCACAGAGAAATATTATTTGTTTGTTCAACCAGAGGACTTATAATTTTAGAGTCCTACTCTCTGGAATAACTGCATAACAGTACTTTTTGCCTTTCTTAAGAGGTCCTTAAAGTCTTTTATCCTTTTCCTTAAATATCCCATGACTTCCACCAACCTGCTAATGATGTGTACAGCATTCGTCACCTGTGCACTGGTAGAGTTGAAGTACAGTCAGTTTTGCCATGGAAATTTGACCCAGAGGGGAAGCCAGCCCAACCTTGAGCGGTGTGTGTCTTCCTGGGGCCCTCAGGCTTTCTTGCCTTCTGCGAGCTTCACTAGATGGCGCACTAAACACATAGGCAGGAGAGGACCGACTACACCACCTCCACGTCTCCCCAGCACTCCCCATCTGCACAGACCTGCTGGCAAAGTGGGGGATTTTACGCCTGTTCAGAACTTTTCACTCTCTATACCTAGAGCCTTCCCTGAGACCTCAGAAGTCCAGGGAGCACATACTTAATAAGAGCGATTAGGTAAGCAGGTTAGCATCCACACCTTTCCAGAGGACCCTATAATGATATATGGTTTGCAAAGATTCTCAATTTCTAGTCCAAGATTTAAGAGCTCTGTATTAAAAAGCCTCCCACTTAGATCTTTCCATTTTTTCCCCCGTAACCTGAAAAAGAGACATTAACCCATTAGCTGAGAAGAGAGATTTGAAAGAGATGGATGTTGCGCCAGGGAAAGGTAAAAGGAGTAACACTTGAAAGTAGATTTTAGAAATGCTAGCTTGGGAATTCACTGTGCTGAAACTGCCTGACACTGGTTGCACAGTGATTTGGGAGAAGGAAGGAAATGAACGTGCAAAACAGAACGGCACAGGGATTAGAGACACGAGGATGGGAGTAGGTATTTGATGGAAGTTGGAATAAACGTAAGGCGGCATCCAGAAGGAGGTGTGTTCACTGGTCAGATCCACACTGACCCAAGGCTTCAGCAACCTGGGACGAAGACTCCGGGAAATAGCAGAGCCATTTTATCACACCTTTGTGACAGAGATGTGGAATTATACATTGAAGATTGCTATGTGCTTTTCCTTTTCACTTGCAGACCTTAATCAAAGGTTCAGTCTTAAGGATGAAGACCACGTTCATGTCCTTCGGAATGAAAAAGAATTCTCCTCTTTCTCAGTATTCACAGGGTAGGACAATGGAAGAAATATAAACAACAGGGTCCAGGGGAAAGCCAGCAGTGTGTTAATTCAGGATGGTGCCAGCCCAGAGAGGCTCTGAGAAAGGCTAATCCCCAAAAAGAAACACTCTGAAATTGTTCCTGGAATGTCAACGGGGTCACATGTTTAATCCAAAATTGAGGAATATGTGTATTTAAAAAAATAAATAAAAATAAGAAATACTTGACAGGATAATGGCCAAAACTATTGAGAAACAGTTATAAGTATATTTTTTATTCACTTATTTTTAATTACTTTAGAATTTGCTGGGGTAGGGGGTGCGGCGTAAAGGCACTTTTTTTTTTCCCGAGTGGAAGGTTATTTAGTTAAGAGAATGTTGAACTCTTAATTAGAACAAATTGAAAGATCTTGCCCTGGCAGAGATTAAGGAACTATGTGAATAACCTAATGGCTCATTTTAAATCTTTAATATCAATGATTTGAAATTTATATCTGTATTGGTTGCCATTCTATCTGTGCAAGAGGTGTAAATTGGTGGACATATCAGTTTGCTGCTTAGGGGGTCAGTTCAGGGTTGCGAAGGGATAGACCGTACTGTGTTCAAAGTCTTAACCATTGGCCATTCAATGCATGCAAAAGATTTCTATCAGTCAGGTTTAAAGAGGCAAATTGAGATTATGCTTCTCTGCACACCTGTGGGTATTGCCAAGAAGAGATTAATGATCCATTTTTTTTCTCCCTTCTTTCAGCCATTCTCTCACATGTTTGCCAGGAGTGCAGACTTTGTATCAAGAACAATACAGAACCAGGAAGTCTCTTCCCCTTAGAAGTTCACAGCCCATTGGAGAAGATAAACAATTATCAATTATATTTCCACAGCAGTACAGCCAACTTTCTCATGTAAAAATTCAGTGCTGACTATGGTTGCAGCCAATATGCATGGAGACCAGTCCTGTTGGAGACATTGCTCCTTTGATTCCTGGAGCAGGCTTTTCCCCAGAAAGAGGCTTCCCATGGCAGCTACCGCGTGGCACTGGAAAATCTTGTTTGGTATGAGAGAGAGAGAATGAGAGACAGAGAGCACGAGAGGGAAGAGGGTCAGAGGGAGAAGCAGACCCCCCGCTGAGCAGGGAGCCCGATGCGGGACTCGATCCCGGGACTCCAGGATCATGACCTGAGCCGAAGGCAGTCGCTTAACCAACTGAGCCACCCAGGCGCCCTACATCATTAGTTTTTGATGTAGTGTTCCATGATTCATTGTTTGCATATAACACCCAGTGCTCCATGCAGAATGTGCCCTCTTTAATACCCATCACCAGGCTAACCCATCCCCCCACCCCCCTCCCCTCTAGAACCCTCAGTTTGTTTTTCAGAGTAGGATGGCCATTTTAGATAGGGGTCAAGCATAATGGTCCTAAGTGAAGCTAGGGGAGCGAGACACCCAAGTACTGGGGGAGTGGAAAAACATTCTAAGTGGACGGAATAGCAGGTACACAGGCACTGAAGCAGATTCTGTTACACAAGTGTGTCACAGAAGAGCAATGTTTGAAGGATTTTAAGCAAGATGTGGCCAGAACTGATACATAATTTGAAGAGATCACTATGGGTACTACATGGTGAGTATAGAATGACAGCAGGGAGACCAGTTAGGAAGACATTGTCCTAGAGCAAGTGAACAGCGTGGTAGCTTAAATTAGGCTGTTAGCAGGAGGGTGGTGCAGAAAAGCCATCCTTCTTGGTATATACTTTAAAGACAGAGCTTATATGAGTAGTTTGAGGGGGAGACAGTCAAATGTTTTGTTTGAAAATTCTGTTAAGACGCTGTGGTACAGATGTTGAGTTGGCAGTTGGTACATGAGTCTGGACGTCAGGGAGGACTGAGGCTGGAATTATAAACTTGGGAGGCTGTTTGAAGCATGAGGCTGGAAGAAATCACTTAAGGAGTGAGTACACGTAGAGAAGAAGAGTCCTGGGGCCTGAAGCACAATGTTTAAAAGATGAGAAGAGGAGTCAAGGACGCGGAGGAGGAGCAGCTGATGGGGTGGGAGGAAGGCAAGAGCACGTGCTGTTTTCCACTGCTTGAATCACATGTTGCCTCTGACCCTTTCGCAACAGGTCCTTACTGCATGTGTCCACATTCAGCTCATTTCTCAGTGTCCAGGCCCTGTACTATCTCTTCCACAGTGTTTTCTGAGAAGCCCCAACACAAGCCATTCTGCTTTTTCTGAGAAGGTATTCTGCAGAACATCACTCTTCTAATTGTTTTGTACTTCAAATACAGGTTCTTGTTCCTCCAAACACATCTTTAACCTTCTGAAAACATGGAGTAACCCTACTCTTATTTTGCAT